CTGAGGATACAAATAAAGATTTAAAAAAAAAAAACCCAGAAAACAAAAAACAGCTCTCAAGGCACTCACAGTCTAGTGGAGAGAGACAACATCCAACCAACTCTGTGCCAACAAGATATATACAGGATAAATCAGAGATAACCACAAAGGAAAGGCTTTAAGGGAGATCAAGAAAAGATTCTTGCAGAAGGTAGGATTTTAGCTGGGACTTGAAGGTAGTTCTTTAATTTTTTGAAAGTCAGCAAATAGTGATAGTAATGAAAAAGAAAAAACTCAAAGGAAAAATTATAAGATATGCAGAAGAGCCATAAGGATATTTGCTGACAATATAATGGTATGCTTAGAAAATCCTGTTGTTTGTCCTTCATTCTCCAAGAGGACCATGACATTAAGAAAGTGATGCCATGACTTGCGTGTGAATTGGATTTAAGTGAGGGAGGGCTATGCAAAGTCACCAGCCTCACTCTCTCCTCTAGAGCCATCTGGGTCCAGTGGTAAGGTATAGATCAAGACAACTGGAGATGGCCCTGAATGCAGGGGGAGATAGTGGCCTTTTTAAGTTAAGATCTTTCCCTTAAACAAAAGATCTAGGTAAATGATGAGGGAAAAGGGGGACAAAAGAGGAGTACTTCCGGACCTCAAACTACAGTTATCGCAATTATTTGGTATTGGTTAAAAAACAGAAAAGTCAATAGAATACAGACAAGTTACCAGATTTCTCAGATAATGATTTGGTACATATATACATACATACAAGCAAACACACACGCATATATATGTAAATGTGTATATGTGTGTATGTGTGATTGTGGGTAGGTATATATACCCATACCCACACCAAAAGCTATTTCCCAAATAGATAAGTTGTCAAAGGCTATGAGTAAAACAGTTCAAAGAGAAGAATTGCAAACTATCAATAAGTATATGAAAGAATGTTCCAAATCACTTATTATAAGAAATGCTCATCAAAACAACACTGAGGTTTTTACCTGAGACTCTGAAAATTGGCAAATATGAGAAAAAATGGATATAATCCATGTTGGAGGAGCTATGGGAAGATAGATATATTAATGTATTGTTGGTGAATCAGCATAACCACTGTGGAAAGAATGTGGGATTATGCAAATGGAGAAACTAAAATGTCCATATCTTTTAATCCAGATATTTCACTAAAAGTCTAATACCCACCACAAGGAGGCCACTGGGAAAAAAAATAAAATTGTATAAGTCAGATCTATAACATTCTTTATGTGATCATTATTGGTACTGCATATCAAGAAAAGACCACTGGGAAACATCTTTTGCATAATTTAACAAAATAACTGATGAAAAGTCTAAGAACAATAAAGCAGCACTGAGCAAAGAGAGCCCATTTACCTATGGTGGCTAATAAATCATTTTCCTGCAACAAAATGAAATCAGGAGGAAGGATTCCAACAAGGATCTCTTGGTTTAGGTAACTGGTTTTCTGCTATAACTTGTTGGATCTTCGAAAGGATAGTCACGATTTCCCTTGATGCATTAATGTAGGAACAAGACTGACTGATCATGGCACAGCCCTTCCTTGAGAAGCTGAAATAAGATCTAGAACATTACAATTTTCTAAGACTGTTTGTGCTACATAATCTACTTCAATTTGGAAGTAAGAGGGACTCACTTGTGGCTTTGGCAAGTTTCTGAGTTTCAAGTAAGGGGTTCCTAGTAGCCTGCTCCAATGCAGAGATGCTAATAAAAGACATCAGGAATGAGAGGATCTTCATCCCCTTTCCATATTGTTTTACAGGATTCTGGATGGTAATCACATCTCCATAAGCTAACACCACACCCCAAGATTTGTGGTAGATTCCTCCCCCACTAATCCTACTTATAGTGTGATTAAAGACTGAAACAGGCAGGCCAAATAGGTGATTCCACATGTTCCAAACCGGTTAGGAAGGAGTAAGTCATATTGCCACAAACAAAAATTGTCTTGGGACTATTAGTCTCCAAGGGGTATCAAAAGGGGAAGAGAAGCACTCTGCAGATCATCTAAGGGGACAAGACAACCCTGTTTGGGTAGTGGTAGGCCTGTAACTGACAGACCAAAGGTTGTTTTAACAAGTGCCAGCTGTATTTGTCATTATATGTCAGGTTGCCAAGGAAAATATAATTGGGGATGGTTTAGTTATCAGAGGTGGTGCTATAAACATATACAGTTGCATACAAGAAATGATCACCTTTGGCAATGTTGGAAAACTAAGTCAAGTACAATTCTCTACCTATCCCAGCTTTATAGTAACATTAATCCCTTCTTCTTTAATAAATAACTGGAATGTTCACCCTACTCTTATAGGCAGTGGTAGAATCACTAAATGTCATAAGTAATCTATTTGCTCCTAGTTCAGCAAAGGTGATAGCCTGGGGACTCTCTATTTGGGAGATTTCTCTGGGTATATAATAAAACACCTAGCCAACAGAATGTAGGAAAAGTTGAAGTTGAAGAGTATCATTTCCTACCCCTAGCCCTGATAACTTGGAGACCACCTTTGGCAATCTTGGTAATGGGGAAGATTATCCATGGGTCAGGGTCTTCCTGATGTATGTGATGGCAAACTCAGCACCCGGGGGGCCCAATAGTTTTGATGTGATATGAAGCCTGCCCTACCTCACCATGAAGACTACCAATAGCTTTACACAAAAATATTTATAGCAGCTTTCTTTGTGATAGCAAAGAATTAGAAACAAGGTTGATGACTATCAATTTGAATATAGCTAAAAACTGCAGTATACCAATGTCTTTATTACTGTATTGTAAAGACATGATGACTATTATGAATATAGAGCATGAAAAAATTTACATAAAATGAGGAAGAGAAAACTAAGCAGAATCAGTATGCACATTAACTGTAATAATTAAATGCAAAAGAACAACCACAAAACACTAAAAAATGAATGCTGCAAAATTACAAAGAGATGAGATGACACCCCTGCCCCCATTCCTTTGCAGGTTCATTGCACATGTTTTAAAATTTATTGGTTTTGCAGATTTTTTCCCCCTCTTCTTCCTTTTTTTTTCTTTTGAAAAGTATTATTTGTTATATAGGAAAGCTGTCTGAGAGGAGGAAAAGGGAAGGATATTTGAAGATATAAAAAAATTTATTTTAAAATATACAGAAGACAGGGGAAGGAAGTTCAGAGAGAGATAAAGAACAGTAGGGCAGTTGCTATTATTGCATAAAATTTAATATAAACTTTAAAAATAAATATAAACATTTACTAAGTTCTTATATATAACTTCCTTGGGTTTTTTATATTGAAATATTAGTACTTGTTGGTGTTTGCTAATAAAAGTTCATAATAAGAAATAAAAGGGTCACTAACACAGATACTGAAAATCTATGGGAATAAATGCAGAGGGATGGGTAAGAGAAAGTCTGTAAACAAAATGCCTAAGTCACCATGGAACATAGAAGAATTGTGCTTCAAGTCCATAGATGGCAGCAACAAAGATCAGGAAAAGTCTGGAATAAATAAACCTAAAGCAGCAAAGGCTTTTAGTAAGGATGGCTGAAGAAGGATTTTAAAATGGTAATAAGGAAGGAGTATGCTAAAACTCTGTCCAGGTCATTCCAGTATGTTCTTTGCAGTTTCTGTTCTGTTGGCTTTTTTTTGTTTTTAACCAATTCCCAATCATTAATCTAGACTCCTTCCATGTCCTCACAGTTACTGAAAGAAGTAGAAAAAGAAGCACTCAACATTGGAAAACGACTGCCATATATGTAGACTTATCAGGAAAAAGCTAGGTTGCAGTTAAGTGTAAGGACATGGAAGGAGTACAGATGACCAACAATGGGAAATTTGTTTAAAGAAAAAAATAGAATGGTAACTGCAAAGAGCATAACTAAAGGTATGAGCAGAGGAGGACAGGACTGAGGGGTCCTAAAGTCAGGATTAACAAAGGACTAATCTGATTGGAGGAAAAAGCAGAAGTGGGATCTGTGCCTAAGATATTAGAGATTGTTAGGTGGTTAAATAACCAGGAAGGGCAGAGATATCTAGTATGGTGAAAAAAGCATTTGAAGTCAGAAGATACTTTGGTTCCACTCCTGGCTCTGCCATTATCTGCTTTTGCAAACTTGAACAAATCAGTTAAATTCTTTGTGCCTGAGATTTCTAAAATGTAAAATGAGTAGAGCGAGACCAATGAAATTTATAAGGGAAAGAGTACACAAGCATCACAGAGTTAGAACTAGAAGACCCTTAGAGATCTAGTCCAACTCCATATCTATCAGGTATCTATCAGATAGATAAAACACAAACTCCCTGGCCAGCGTTTAACATCCTCCATTTTCTAGCTCCAGTCTACTTTTCTAATCTCATTTCATAGCATTCTTTATCATATACTTTAGCTTTCAGCCAAACTGGACTTGTTTCATAAAGTTAACAAACCATCTTTCTCCTCTATCCTTGTGCATTCATAAATGACATCCTGATAGCTGAAATTTAGTCACTCCTCATATCTGTCTTTTAGAAACCTTTTCTAAAGATAGCCCAATACAAATGTCATCACCTCCATGAAGCCTCCCCTGTTTGCCACAACTCTATGTATTTTCTACCTCATCCAAATTGTCCTAAAACACACTGTCTGCATCATTACTTTGCCACCCTCACATTCTATCGTGTATTAAACTTCTTTCTATAAATGCAATATCCCACCAAGTACAAGGTAAGGTACCTGAGGGTAAAGCCTTTCTTTTTCTCTTTGTGTCCCCAACAATTAGCACTGAACTTTGAACAAAGTCAGTCCTTAATAAATAATTGCTGAATGGAATGTTTTCAAATTCTTTAATATTTCATTTGTACACAAATATCTATGGTTCTAAAATGCCAGAAAAAGAACCATGAGCATGTGAAATTATACCATCTCTAAAGTCAAATTTTTAAAATTAGAGGAAAACCTATTCTGTTGTGAAAACTAGACTAGTTACACCTAAATAACTGATGTAACTGAAATGTCATACCTTACTTATCAAATGGATGATTTCCCCTTCTTTAAAAGAAAGTTCATCGTCATTAGCACCTTCGTAGGCAAATAACGTTCTACAATATTCCTTAGCTGAAAAAGAAAATTGGCAGGGAGGGGAACATCAGGCTCATGGTTCATTACATGAATTCATTCATTCAACAAATATTTGTTGAGTGCCTATTATGTGAAAGGCACAGCAGTAAGTGCTATGAACAAATAAGCTGATAATATGTCTACATTTCCATAATTATTTAACTTTTTTCTTAAATGATATCCAATTACTCTAGTCATATGTATCAAATATGTCAAATACTGATGAACAAGAGCTAGAATATTTAGTTACATTTCCACAGTTTATGGAAAATTTAAGGCCAAAAAAAATTAACATATTAGCCTTACCTTTATATCTGCCTTCAATTTCTGCCTTTGCTACTTCTATACTCTGATACTGTGTTGATCTGAATCCTAGTGTATGTGTAATTAAGGGCTAGAGAACACAAAATATATTAATGATTTAATATAATGAAGCCAATAAAATTAGACTATAAAACTTTCCATTTAAAGTTATTCTACCTACCCCCTTTAAAATAACTAGTATTTTTTTTCTATGTGGAAATTTATAAAAATAATAGAATAAGCAAACAAAAGAGACTTCTAAACAATCTCTTAGAATAGGTAGTTCCAATCATTCAAAAGCACTGGTAAAAAATAAGATATAAACTAAATTATAGTATAGGAGTATAACAACTGTTCAGAGGTGACTAAGAGTATATCTACAGTATAAAACTTACTAAATCTTTAAAACCAAAAGAAAACCTTTAATAGATGACATAAGTGAACTAGAAGAAATTATTTATAATTTCATTGTTGTGAAAATATTTTCCATTCACATGGCATTAGGTTATTGTTAATTTTCCATGATTACAATGATCTCTGATGTTGCCTCTTTATATTCCAAAGGGTAGGAAGAGTTGGGCATGATATCTTGATGAATATGTTCTGTTTTAGATATAAGTTGGAATCTCTTCCTACAGAGAAAGTGAGGTGAAGGGAAGGGGAGGGGAGGGAAGAAGGTAAGGGGAAAAGGAGGGAGGAAAGAAGGAACAAAGGAAGGAAGGAATGAACGAATGAAGGAACGAAGGAAAGGATTTATTAAGCACCTGCTATGTGCTAGGCGCTGTGCTAAGTACTTTCCAAATATTATCTCATTTGATCCTCATAACACTCTGTGAGGTAGGTGTGCTCAGTATCAAAAGGCCCTAGGGGGATTTTATCTTTTCCCTATTAATGAGAAATGAATTAAGGACTGATCTAAGGTCAGAATTAAACCAGACTTTAGTGTAGGAAAAAAATATGATAGAGTTCTTGACCTACTGGTATGTTCAAACCTTTTCAACATTTAATCTTACTGAACTCTTTTTATTTGGCATTTGGTTCATTTTCCCACTTTACCAGATTTACTTTGCATTCTACTTCCATTCCAAGAACCTCATCATTCATCTATTTATTCTCTCCATCAATCTCACTAACACCTGCACTAGAAAAAGAGGAGGGGAAAAAAGTCTATAAAGAGAATCAATCTGAGAGTTCAAAACATAAGCTAAGTTCCGTCTGTATACTTTAATTGGGTAATGATACAAAGGATAAATGCAACTTTCTCTGTCAGTTTCTGAAAGTAAAATTAACTCTACTTCCTGAATTTATAATTTTGATGTAATTAAATGTATCCCATAAATGAATTTATTTCCAAAGGATTCAATTAGAATATCACCATATTTAGATATAATACTAAATTCACTATCTTAAGATAACATTTCTGAAGGTGATCATTTATGCAAAAATGACTGAAAAAAAGGAACATTGCCCTTCTATATGATATACATAAAATGAACTGGATATACAGTTTAAAATTTAAAGAATTCTGTTTCAACCTTTTAAAAACATCAGTAGGCAAGGCAGGGACAAACCATTTTGAAATGCTCTGAGGATCACAACATAGCCAGGCTTGTCCCAATTCACCATTAACAGAGCAAGTCAGCATTCAAGGGCCATGCCAACACAAAACGTTCACCCTGACTCTTCTAATCACCTGTCTTCATGTGCAGAACTTACTATCTTCATTTTCCAATAGCTAACAAGTTTTCACCACACTCTATGCTTCCCATCCCTATAAAACCGAACTCCTGTCCAAAAAAAACCCCAAAAAAACCCATCACCAATCTCAACTGTCTACTCATTCATTCCCATACACTCTGAACTTCACCCCTATAACAGACCACTCCAGATCTGCCCTCCCCTTCAACTATGCCCTCTAGAAGGCCTGCTCCAGTCATAATCAACAAACTTCCGTTAATTTTAATCCTCTCTTAATAATTAATGCAGCTTTTCTCCATTAATAATCCTTCCATTTTTTTGGAACTCACTGAGACCTAGTTTACTCCTGATGACACTGTATCCCTGATCACCCTTCCCAGTACTGGTTTCATTTTCACTCACAAATCCACAGTCATGGATTCTGCTTTCTCATACAATCTCCTTCTGTCTTCAATTTTATGGTTTAGTTCAACCCATTAACTTTCATAGTCACAAATATTAGTTATTTCCCTTGTCATATCATGTTTTCTTCTCTTCACCCAGTCTTCACTTTTACACATGCGAATGTAGAGAAAGAAAAGGAATGTGACAAAAACTAATAATCTATTATTGAAATGATCTGCTCCACTGTCTTGCTTGCAATATTTTCATTTAACCAAGAAGTTCTGGATTTTGACTATGACATTCTTAAGTATTTTCAATTTGGAATTTCTCTCAGGATGTGACTATTGGATTCCATTTTTACTCAACTCTGATTTCAAAGGACGTGGAAATACCACATCTAGGGTTTTTGTTTCATTATGGTTTTCAGGGAGTCTGATGTTCTTAAATTGTCTCTCTTTGATTTGTTTTCCAAGTCAATTGTTCTTGATTGCGAGTATATGACGTTTTCTCATGCTTTTTAATCTCTGAGATTGTTTTAAAATTTCTTCTTGTTTCCTAGTCACTTAATTCTATTTGCTCCACTCTGTTTTTCAGGCAGTGCACCACTTGAGGATAAACTTTTCTGACTTCTATTCTATACTATTTATACTCATTCCAATTTTATCCTCAGAAATTCTTACTTCATTTATAATTTCATTTTCTATCTCTTGCTTCATTTCTTTCAGTCACTCTTGGGGTCCTTGCATCCTAGCCGTCTGTTTTTCCTCTGAGGTTCTTTGTTTATACTTGTAGAGTCATTCTCTTCTTCTGGGTTTGCTTCCTGGTCATTTCTTTTTTAAAAAAATTAATTTATTTTAAACTTAAATACACAATAAGAAAAAAATGTTATAAACTTAAATATAACATAAGAAAAGAAAAAGAAGCATTGCCATGTGCACAGCAGAACATAAGAGGATTCAAAATATACAGCAACAAATTTCCATTTCAAGAAAGCATATATAATAAATATTAAACACTGTGTTGAGCTATCCATCTTTTCTTTGCTTCCTGATCTTTATTTTATGTTTGTGTGTATCACTTATTTCCTATCCCTCCTGACTCCTCTACTTTACTTCTACCCACTACCTTGCCTTCCTATTACTTAATCTATGCCCCCAAAGATCCCTCCTTTATCCTCTCCCTCTACTCCCCCCTCCCTAACCCTTTAGCCTTTCATTTCTTTCTAAGGCTTTTATGCCCTTTTAAATTTATATGTAGTTCCCTCTTTAACCTATTTCTAATGAGAGTAGGGTTCCAGAACTACTAGCCCTCCTCCCTCATCTAATTCCTCTGTGTCACTTCTTCCACTCATACCTCCTTTGTATAAGATAATTACTTTTTACCTTTTCCTAGATGGTTATCACATCGCACTCAGCTCTACCCCAATCTTTCTTTCAAACTACTTAATTACTAATAACAACCTTAGACATTAACAGTTTGCATTTCCTCATGTAAAAAGTAAACAGTCTGTCCTTATTGAGTCTTTGATTTTTACCTTGGATCTTGTATTCAAATTTTCTATTGATTTCAAATCTTTTTGCAACAAAATCCTGAAAGTCTGGCAATTTATTGAATATCCATTTTTCTTTTTGTTTAGAATTATGCTTAACTTTGTTGGGTATGATATTTTTGGCCTTAAGCCCAGGTCTTTTGCTCTTCAATATATAGTTTTCCAAGACCTGCTGTCTTTTAGTGTAGCCACTGCTAGGTCTTGTGAGATTCTAATTGTGGCTCTGACATATTTGAATTGTTTTGTTCTCGTTACTTGTAACATTTTCTCCCTGAGCTGTGGGTTTCAGAATCGAGCTGTGATATTCCTGTAGGTTTTCCTCACAGGATCTCTTTCAAGTGGTGATGGGTGGATATTTTTCTATTTCTACTTTCCCATCTGGTTATAACACTACAGGACAATTTTCTTTAGTCATTTCTTGTATTATTATATCAAGATCCTTTGTTTTAATCATAGTTTTCAGGTAGTCTGATTATTCTTATGTTTTCTCTTCTTGATCTGTTCTCCAGATCAATTTATTTTTCCTATGAGATGTTTCACTTTCTTTTCTATTTTTTCATTCTTTATATTTTGTTTTGTTATTTCTTGGTCTCTTATAACTTCACTGGCTTCCCCTTGCCCAATTCTATGACTATCCTTTTCAAGGAGTCATTTTCTTCCTTAAGATTCTGGATCTCCTTTTCTAGTTGGTTGACTTTCCTTTCATAATCTTCTTGGTTTTTTTGGATTGTTCTTATTTTTAATTTTTCATCAATCTCTCTCATTTGATTTTTAAAGTCTTTCTTAAATTCTTCAATGAATTCTTTTTGGGCAGGTGACCATTTGACATTACTCTTTGGGGTAGAAAAGGTTATTTTTGCTTAAATACCCTCCCCTGAGGAGGAACCCTTCTCCCATAATAACGTCTACATAGTCTTCTACGTAGTAACTTCCCACAGTAACTTCTATGTAGTCTTCTAATGAAGTAGTCTTCTCTACTCCCACAGTAACTTTCTATGGTTGGGTTCTTTCTCCTTTGCTTGCTCATTTTTTTTTTTAATTTACAGCAGCTTGTTATTGTAATCACTTCTAGTCCTGGGATAAGGGAGATGGTGTCTCTGGCCTCAGATCCTCCAGGCAGTTCTCCCCTCTGGCCTGAACTGAAAGCAAGAACTCCACCCTCCTATAAGTATCCACAGCCAACAGCATTCCCTGCCCCACTGCTTCTGCATTTACCTGCCAGTGCTGGTTAGTTCCTTTCCACCCAGGGCCACTTCTCTGCAGCACAGCTGGGCTTGCTGTCCCTTATCAGCAGAGGTTCCCTCAATCTTCCCCTGCTCAGACACCTGACTCCCCACACTGTCCAGGATGTGAAAGTTCCTGTAGCCCCAAAGCTTGCTGCTTGCTGTTTCGGAGGAACTAGCCTGGAGGTGTTTATACTTCACAGGGATCAAACCTCAAATCTTCTCTGGTTGTCTTAGGAGACCACTGTTCTGTCCCAACTTTTATTTATTTTTACCTGCTCTACGTTCACCCTGAGGGGCTATTTTGTCTTATTTTTGGAGGAAATCTGGACAGCATGGAATGTTCTGACATACTCCACCATCTTCCCAGAATAATCCCTTAGTCATTTCTTATCCCATAAAACTTCTTCACTGGGTCCGATATTTTCTTGTTTCATATTTCCAGTCTCAATTTCTGATTTGGGACTTCGTACTCTGGCCAGTCTCCACCTATACTCGTGAATTTTTGGATAGAATATTTAAGCCTTGTTTGGTCCTGTCTACAATTTCTGAGGTTCCTACAAGAGATTAAACTTTCCCTGGCTTTTCTATCAGCTTCTCTCCTCCATCTCCCAAAGTGACTCCAGACAGAGCAATACATGATTGACCATCCTAAAACATTCTCAGACGGAGGGCTATAGGTTTCTGATCTTCTTAGTGAACTGGCAGAATTCAAGCCTATTTGCCTTAATGTGTGCTAACTTCCAAGGCAGAGACCTCTCTCTAGTGTATACAGGCTGTCTTCTTTAAGTTTTGGACTGTGTGAAGGAAATCAGTGTTGTTTCTCTGTTTCAATTAAATTTCTTGAATCATTAATGGATCTGATGCCTTTTTCAGATCTTTGCTATTGCAGATATAAGAGACTTAGGCTCCTTTATTAACTTTCATATCACCATCTTACCTGAAAGTAGGTCCTTAACTAATACTTTAAAGGGTCCTTTGAGACACCTAAGTCTTCTATCTAGTACATCAGCAATAAAAATATGACAAGTGGCTAAAGCTTTGCGAACCTTCATTTCTTCTCTTTGGGTGGGGGAAATAATTAACATTGGCACTACTGACTACCTAACATAATCATAAAATATTAAGATTGTTCTTATTAATCAAATGACGGTATATAATAAAATGTCCAATTCAACAACATTTATTAAATGCCTTTTATATGCAATTCAAATGTATTATACCTTGCTAGAATAAAAACACAATATGAAAAAAGAGTCCTTGCTCTCAAAGAGCTTGAATTCTACAACTTCCAATCAAAACTACCACAATAAAGAAAATAACATGGTCAATTCAGAAAGTATCCAAAAAACTCACAGGATGACAAACTCTATCTAAGTCTACTTAATACCAAGGATCACAAGGGTGTCAAATCCTTAGAAGGAAACATCAGAATTGATTTTTACTTGCCAAAAAAAAAAAAAAAAAAAGGTACAGACATAACTAAAAGATCAACTACGCAAAAAGGCCATTGAATTAATAGCCATAAAAAAATCCCTTAAGAACTATCTGTTAACATTTCAGAATGAAAAGAGAAAATGAATACTTCTAAAACTCCAAGGTACTATAGTCCACCTGATGGTTTTTGTAAATGGTATTAAACTTGTGGTTAATTGTTTGTTCCTAAGAGTTAATCATCTTTAAAGGTTTTTATTCTTTTAAAAACATTTTTACTATGATTTGTTTGTCTGGCATTACAATTTATTATTTCTTATGGTCACATTTCTCAAGGCATCCAGGTGGCGCAGTGGATAGACGCTAGGCCTGGACAGAAATATTCATCTTCCAGAGTTCAAATTTAGCTTCAGACATTTCCTGACTGTGTGACCCTAGGCAAGTCATTTAAGCTTGTTTGCCTCAGTTTCCTGATCCATAAAATGGGCTGGAGAAGAAATGGCAAACCAATCCAGTACCTTTGCCAAGAAAACCTCAAATGGGGTCACAAAGAGTCAGAAATGACTAAAACAACTGAACAACAGCAGAGAATCCTTGTGAAAAAGATCCCAATATGTTTCTTCTATTGTAAAACCACAAACAATTCTGATGATGATCAATTATCTGGTTGTAAAGCATACTGGGAAAATCATCTCTTGAACGGTAAAAAGGCAATTCATGGCAGAAATGAAAACATTTTCCCCCATTTTATTATTTTATCCATTTAATAGACTAGTTATACAAAAAGACTCCCATTGCTTAATAATATCAAATCGTAGTAGAAAAGAAAGAAGAATTAGAAAATATGCAACTTGAGCTAATTCAAATTATTTTGGAGAAAATATCTCAGATTTTTTGGGTTAAATGATCACTAGCTTATTCATCACCTCAAAAAATCAAATGAAACAAAAGTGAAGTGAACTTTACATTTTCATGTGTTCTATGTGTATTACAAGTTTAAGTTCAGTTCTGTACCTTGTCTGGTCTTCTTTCATCTACTTCATTACTGGACATTCTCGTCCGGAGCTTCACTGAACCTTCTTTAAAAATATCTCCAAATCCAACTCCCCGAATTTTCTTTGGCTGTGCAACTGATCCAGCTACAGTTTCACTCTCATTTCCTGGAGAGGCTAAAGGTGAGGTAGGGCTAGTAAAAACAGCTTCTGAAAAAAAAAAAAAATTTTTTAAGAAAATTTAGCACAAAAAACATACTTACTATACAACAAAAAAAATCTTAAATTTCACTCCACATGTGAAAGCTTATCTTAATTCTAAGCTACATTGATTTCTTTACCAACTCTGAATTTCAACATAACTAACTGTATATACCACACATTTCAACAATGATCTACTACTTAATAACTTAACGGGTTTATTTGTCTCTCTGTGTCTTGCTTCCCAAATCGAAAGACAAATAAAAAGCAAAGCTGTAACCATTTATCAGATATGGTTATGTGCTTTCCTTAACCTCTCCAACAAAGTTAAATCAAAATTTCATTGCTTTAGGTCAAAGACTTGCAGAACAATGAATAAGTAATAAAGATAATAATTCTCCATAATGTGAAATAATTTAGGTTTAGAAGTAATTCCATGAGTTATTTCTTTTGATCCTTAGGACAGCCTTGCAAGGAAGGCAAGGAAGATATCCCCATTTCACAAAGCTTAATTGCCTTACTCAAGGTCACATGGCTAATAAGTGATAAAGCCAGAATAGAATCGAGATTTTTTTTTGCCTCCCAGTTAAGTGCTTGTTTAAAAAAAAATTTAAGATAAAATAAGATCCTTGAGTAAAAATATTGGTTAATCCATAACCAATAAATAACTTTACAATACTAAGTCTTTGGTCCAATTCATCCTTATGTCATTTTAAAGGAAAGGTTTAAAATAGTCATAGTTCAGATTTTGGAAGGACAATGCAATAGACTCAAACAACTATATATACATTTTCATGCCAAATACTAAGAAATTTTAATGCTCTAGAGTGAATACAGTGGTTAAACAAAAAAGAGAAGGGGGAAAAAGGGAAAGCAGAAGACGGAAAAAGGAGAGGAAACAACGCAAATGTGGCATATATGTTCTGTACAAAACAAATATGATCTTCCAATATGTAATGTGCTATAATTGATTTCATTGATATATATATGTTTATGTATATATAATATAGTATTCGTATACAGGACAAAATAATTTAATATATAATGTGCATACATAAACATACATGTATGTGTATAAATACATATGTATATATATAACAAACACACAAGGGAGAAAATATGCTCTTTTTTTTAATTTGAAAGCACTTTCTGTGTAGATTGCTACAGTTTGCACATGACCATTATCCAGCAGAGTTTATGATGTTTAAGGCAAGAGGGAGACTTCTATAATCCTTCTATTCGTTTTTATACTGGCAATTCCTCAAAGTCACTAAAAATCAAGCTAAGCTAAGAGTTAGAATTCAAAAGTCTTAGCATTTAAAATTGTAACATTAACATAAAAACCTCAATGTCTTTGCAAAGAAACTAAAGGAAAAGTTACACCCAGATATTGTTTTACTCAAGATTCCAGGATCCCTACTTAACTTTAGAGTCTAGCTCATATCTTCATCAATAAAAACTGTTACATCTAAAACTTAAACTCAAATCAGCCTTAGGGAAAAGTTGGAAAGAACCAGTATTAAAATAAAATATGATAAGCAACATCAAGGCCTATCACAAGCAAATTGGTTAGAAGTATTTCAAGGTATGATATTATAATGGTTATTACCTGTACTTTTTTAATTCTTTATAGTTTGTAAACTGTATATATGTATATGTTGAATAATATATCTTTCCTTGGTATTACTACCTCAATCATTTCTTATTTCCAAAAGGATGAATGAGACCCTAGCTTTCAGCCCTACTCCTCCCCCAATCTTAATGAAGAACTGACTAGCAAAAATCAGCTAAACATTACATTCTAGGTTGATGTTTCCAGGGAAGTCTCAGTTACAAATCAAACTAGCATCATCAATAATCCTTGAGAGACTACCTTATTTATACATATCTTTGATCAGAGAACTTTTTTATTACTGTTTCCTACATGGCTAGTCCTTAAGGGAGTAGCCTAGTACAATGGAAAGAGTATTAACTGAATAATCATAATCTTTATAAATTTCCATTCTATCACTTTCCTAATTCAGTTTCTCTTCCTTGGTTGTTTGATTCTCCACTCTTTTTTCAAAAGTGGAGGGGAGGGGAAGAGAGAGGGAAAAGAAGGGAAGAGATGTGAATTTATTAATCTCCTACTATATGACAGGTACTGTGCTAAACAACTTTACAAATATTATCTCATTTGATTCTATCATTGGGATCCTTCCATAATTTCATTAAGTCTGAAATTATGTGTGAATTAGCTAAAAGGTTCACAAATGGTAATCAAGCAAGGAGACTAGTAAATTACTGATATCAGAAGGAGCTCTTAAAAATTATAGAATAGTACACACTATTTCCCCATCAGTTGAGGCTTTTTTTTAAATGCTACCCCTCTTTATTGATCACTTGATCAATTAATAAAATAGTATGCTACATTCCAATTTCAATATGATTTACCTGATTCCTCTTGAGCTTCATGGGCTTCTCCATCATCAGCCATCTCTAATTCTTTCACAAAATTTGAGGGAAATAGTCCTGACTTGTTGTTCAAAGTTCCACTCCACCAGCCTTCTTCTACCTAAGAGAGTTCATAATTCACTTTTTTGCTTTTTTAAAAAATAAAATACTAAAAAATATTAACAAAGCAAAGATTAATTATCAAGTATTTATTAAGTGCTTACTATATGCCAATCACTATACTAAGCCCTAGGGATAAAAAAAAAGTCCCTACTCTTTAACTGAAAGAAAAAAAATATAGATAAATCAGTATATACAAAACAAATGAGAGTAAATGTAAGGTAACATTAGAGGGGAAAGTACTATCCACTGGAGGGAAAAGTACTCCTACAGAAGTTGGCACTTGGGGGAACTAGGTGGCACAGTGGATAGAGCGCCGACCTTTAAGTCAGGAAGACCTGAGTTCAAATCTGGCCTCAGACCAAACACTTGGGCAAGTCACTTAACCCTAATTGCCCAAGGAAAAAAAAAAAACAAACCAAAAAACAAAACAAAACAAAACCAAAAACAAAACAAAACAAAACAGAAGTTGGCACTTGACCTGAGTCTTAAAAGAAACCAGAGATTCTAAGAGGCAAAAGTGAGGAGAGAAGGGTATTACAAAGATAAGGGCCGGTGCAAAGAAGATGAAGCATCTCATGTGAAGAACAGTAAGTAGGCCAGAATGGCTGTACCACAGAGTATGTAAAGTAGATTAAGTGATTGATTAAAAAGCCTGTAAATACAGAAGCCAGGTTGTAAAGAACTTTAAATGCCAAAGATAGGAGCTTCTGACTATTGTTACAGGTAGTAGGGAATCATTGGCTTATAGCAATCACTAAATAGGAAGGGGTTGATATGGTCAGGCCTATACTTTAGGAAAATCACTTTGGCAGACATGTGGAGTAGGAATTTAAAGTAAAAAGAGACAAAGCAGGGAATTGAATTAGAAGGCTATTGCAACAGTCAACACAAAAAGTAATGAGAGTCTAAACTAGAATGGAGGCTATATGAGAGGAGGAGACATGCCTGAAGGATATTGCAGAGAAAGAAACTGAAATTATAAGATGTGGCAATTGATTGGTTATGGGTGAGGAAGAGAAGAGAGATGGGAAGGAGGGAGAAAAAGAGGGAGAGGATGGGGGGAGGGGGAGAGGGAGAGAGAGAGAGAGGGAAAGAGAGAGAGAAATTATGTCTAAAAGATAAAGCAACTTCAAATGTCTCCATGATCTAGGACAACCAGAAACCAAAAGGGTTTAAAATTTAAAAAAAAAAAAAAAAAAAGCCTACTTTGAGCTCACTCAGTATACTGTTCCCCACCACTCATCATGCTACAGGCAACAAGGCTGCACCAGCCAAGCCCAAGACTTGACCCATGGACTTGCAACAAAACCCAATCTCATACACTGGTCCACCCTTCCTCTTTCCAGTGCCAAGGAGACCCTGCTCCAGGATGTGGGAGTTTGTTGACTCTTCAGTGGCCAAGCATCACGGCAGCATTCTGTGCTGTAACAGATTTCTGAAGGAGAATGGAAGAACAGAGGGAACAAGGCAGGACACATAACTGGGCTTAAAAGAGAACTCAACACTACACTCTAACCCTCTACCCCTTTGTCCCAGAGCCTTGGAGACCTAAACTCCACATAGCAAAAAATCACCTCTGGCTTCGTGGCACCTGTGTGATACATTTGAACTGGCAAGCCAGAGAAATGAAGAAGAGAAGAACTAGACAGAACACTGTATACTTGTATAAGAGTGAGGGAAGCTCCATGTAGCACACTACTAGGCCTGAGGGAAAGAGCTCAGCATCTAACTGGAGCCATTTCTGTCCTCCAAAAAGTCAGCTGGAGTGGAGATCTAGGCAAATGAACCATGAATTGCTTAGTATGGGAAGAAGCTAAGAAATTCTGAGATCCAGCCACCAGGGAAACAGAGAGAATGGTGTCAATATAGCTGAGTAAACGGGTAAGGTAAGGGGGGAAAAGACTGAAATTAACAAAGATATCAGGAAAAAGAAAATTCAAAGACCTTGAACAAAGATCTTTGTTGAGATAAATCAACAAAGAAATCATTAACAACAGAAGGAAATATGGCCTCCAGATATAGTAAACAAGTTCAGGCATCTATGAATAAATGCAGGGGGGTGGAGCCAAGATGGTGGAGTAAAAGCAGTGACTTGCTTGAGGCTCTCTCCCAAAACTCCTCCAAATACCTGTAAAAAATTGCTCTAAACTAATTCTAGAGCAGCAGAACCCACAAAAAGACAGAGCGAAACAAATTTCCAGCCCAAGACAACCTGGAGGGTTGATTAGAAAGGTCTATCACACCATGCTGGGAGAGAAATGCAGTTCAGCGTGGGCATGCAGGCAAAACAAACTTCAGTGAACATGAAGCAAGCCTCAGAGGACTGAATCATGGGCAGCTATGGCAGTTTCCAGACTTCTCAACCCACAAACACCAAAGACAACTTAGAAGGTCACTAAGAAAAATCTTGTGACCAAGGTGGGAGAGAAGCTCAATCCCAACCCAGGTCCCAGGCCCAGTCCCTGAGCAGCTCCAGGGCCCTGGCTGCTTCTCGCCCACAGACTGAGGGGGAATCAAGGGGGATTACAGTGATCTCTTTGCTGGTTCTGAGGCAGGGTTCTCTTTCTTTGCCTGTACCTGGATCTGGGTTATACCTCTGAGTCGCAGTCCTGGGGTAAGGAGGAATGCTGGCATGTTGGAGCTTGTGGTGACAGTGGAGAGGGAATCCTCCTCACAGTTCCAAAGCAGAAAATGGTGCTTGTGGTCACTCATAGACCAAAACACAGACCAGGAAAGGAGTAAACACCTTGCCCTTGATCATACTACCTTGGAAGAACTGAAAACTTACAGGTCCCTAGAAGTATCTCTGAAAACAGCTGCACAAAACCCCTGAAGCTTGTGACAGTACATTCTCCACACTGGAAGCAGACCCCTAACTTAACAAAGGGTTTAAAATTCAAATAATTGGCTGGGATCATGAGCAAACTGCACAAAAAAAAGTGAGACCATAAAATCTTTCTTTGGTGACAAAGAAGATCAAAACATACAACCAGAAGAAGACAACAAAGTCAAAGCTCCTACATCCAAAGCCTCCAAGAAAAATATGAGTCAGTCCCAGGCCATGGAAGAACTCAAAAAGGCTTTTGAGAAGTAAGAGGAGCAGAGGAAAAAGAAAGAGAAGGAAGAGAAATGAGAGTGATGTAAGAAAATACTGAAAAGCTAGTCAATAGTTTGCTAAAAGAAACCCAAAAAAATACTGAAGAAAATAACACCTTAAAAAATAGCCTTATTGAAATGACAAAAGAGGCCCAAAAAGCCAATGAGGAGAAGAATGCCCTAAAAAGCAAAACTGGCCAAATGGAAGAGGAAGTCCAAAAGCTTATGAAGAAAACACTTCCTTAAAAATTAGAATGGAACAATTGGAAGTGAGTGACTTTATGAGAAATCAAGACTCTGTAAAACAAATCCAAAAGAATGAAAAAATAGAAGACAATGTAAAATATCTCACTAAAAAAACAACTGACCCGGAAAACAGATCCAGGAGAGAGAATTTAAAAATTATTGGACTACCTGAAAGCCATGATCAAAAACAGAGCCTAGACATCATCTTTCAAGAAATTATCAAGGAAAACTGCTCTGATATTCTAGAACCAGAGGGTAAAATGGAAATGAAAAGAATCCACTGATCACCTCCTGAAAGATATTCCCAAAGGAAAATTCCTAGGAATGTTGCAGCCAAATTCCAGAACTCCCAAGTCAAGGTGAAGATATTGCAAGCAGCCAGAAAGAAACAATTCAAGTATTGTGGAAACACAATCAGGATAATACAAGTTCTAGCAGTTTCTACATTAAGGGACCAGAGGGCATGCAATGTAATATTCCAGAGGGCAAAGGAGATAGGATCACAACCAAGAATTATCTACCCAGCAAAACTGAGTATAATCCATCAGGGGAAAAAAAGGACATTCAGTGAAATAGAGGACTTTCGAGCATTCTTGATGAAAAGACCACAGCTGAACAGAAAATTTGACTTTCAAATACAAGACTCAAGAGAAGCATGAAGAGGTAAACCAGAAAGAGAAATCATAAGGGACTTACTAAGGTTGAACTCTTTACATTCCTGCATGGAATGATGATATTTGTAACTCATGAGACCTTTGTCAATATTAGGGTAATTGGAGGGAAAAAATTATATGCATAGACAGAGGGCACAGGTGAGTTGAAGATGAATGAGTGATATCTGGAGAACAAAATTAAGGGATGAGAAAGGATTATACTGGGAGAAGGAGAAAGGGAGAGGTAGAATGGGGTAAATTATCTCACATAAAACAGACAAGAAAAGGCTTTTACAATGGAGGGGAAATGGGGGAAGGTGAGAGGGAATGAGTGAATCTTATTCTCATATGATTTGGCTTAAGGAGGAAATAACATACACACTCAATTGGCTATGGAAAGCTTTCTTACCCTGTAGGAAAACAGGGAGGAAGGGGATAAGAGAGCAGGGGGAATAATAGAGGGGAGCGCAAATTGGGGGAAGGAGTAATCAGAAGCAAAGACTTCTGAGAAGGGACAGGGTCAAAAGAGAGAACAGAATAAACAAGGGGTAGGATAAAGAGGAATATAGTTAGTTTTCCACAGCATAATTACTACGGAAGTGTTTTACATGACTACACAAGTGTAAACGGTATCGATTTGCCTGCCTTTTAAATGAGAGTGAGTGGAGAGGGAGGAAGGGAGAAAATTTGAAACCCAAAGTTTTAAAAACAAATGTTAAAAAATTGTTTTCACATACAACTGGAAAATAAGATATACAGGCAATGGGGTATAGAAATCTATCCTGCCCTACAGGAAAATAGAAGAGGAAGAAGAGATAGAAGGGGAGGGCAGATTAAGGGAAAGGGTATTCAGAATGCATGCTGTCTTGGGGTTGGGGTAGGGATGGGGAGAAAATCTGGAACTCAAAATCTTGTGTATGTGAATGTTGAAAACTAAAAATTAATTGATGAATCTTTAAAAAAAAATAAAAATTAATGCAGCAAAACAAAAGAAAACGATCCA